GAAGCTTTCAATTGACGTAAATACTTCTTTTGGCAAATGAATACGCGATAAACGACAGCGCGTTGAAATCTTCCGTTTTTGACGTCTTGCAAGTCAAACGCTGTTAATTTATACACCGTCGAAGTAAACAATTTAATCGAGTATTCTAAGTATTTTACCTTTTGAGAAAAAACATTTTCTTGAATGGGGACTTTTCACTTTGCTAAGTTTAAAAGTGGTCCAGAAATCCCAGTATATTTGTAAAAAAATCATCAAACATCCAGTATTTTGAGACATTGTTGACGGTTGCATGATAACTTCAGATCATTATTCAACGTGATCTACGACCCGCCGACCCGGCCGTTTGACTTTTAATAGCGCTAACATATACAAATCGATGAGCTATTTAAGGATTATATTTGCCACTAAATTCCCCAAAAGAATTGGAACTACAACTGCTGTTTTCAGAGGTTTTGATCCATTTTGTCCATATTAATGTACCATTTTATTTATCGGCTGATGTTTACAAATACGTAAGTTAATTATTAAGCAGCTGTTAGCGTGCGTGTACATGTGAGATGAACGTTTATAATGTTTATCCATATAAGGAGTTTTTATTTTTAGTTTACCAGCCCTTATATTTGAATAGTCGTTTTCTTTCAAGTTGTTTTCTTTTTTATACTCTGCAAAGTTGATTCCGAAATGTTAAGGTATTCGAAAAAACTATTGAACTTTTCCATGATATTTACAGAGAAACGTCACAGCTGTAAACCCCCCACCCCCAAAATGAACATATGACGTTTCTTGTGGAAAAATCGATATGTGAGGCTTCCCTAAAACTGCAAGGTTTACACTATTGAATTAAAATCCCACAGACCACAACGATTATACGTATTGATTGTTTCTTGACGATAGTAGACGCGTACGTGCATGTTGCGGAAGAGGTTATTTCGCTGGCCTCAGAGTGACAAAAGGTACTCTGGTTCTAGAGGTTTAAAATAATAAACCTCTGTTTGAAAGCGGCAATTAATTCATCGAGCCGCGCCAATCAGCTTGAATTAGGGTAGATAGTTATGATAAGACAAGGGCGGCGCCAGGGCCGCCCATGCAGGGAGGCGGCAAAGGGAGCAATTTTCTCCGCGACCCCAGCTCAAGGAAGACAGGCAAATACAAATTTGCAAGGCGATAAAAAGTTTGTCGACGGAGGGGGGTAATTGTGGTTCACCGGGGCCCCAAGGGTATAATTGGCCCTGGGGCCCCATATTTCACTGAGCTGGTTTGGGCTGCGCCAGTATTTCTCCGACGGGGGGAGTCATCAGTGCCCTCTTTTGATCTTTGTCAATTGGCATTAAAACCGCAAGAACTACCGACAAGTGACCAGGGCCGGATTAACGTCGCGCGAGGCCCGTGGCAAATTTTAGCGCGAGGCCCCCAAACCTCCCCCTTTCTTCTTTTTATGAAAACCATTGAATTTAAAGACACACAAAAGTGTTAAATAATTTTTTTCAATATTTCAATTTATTTGCATCAATTATAAACGAGATAATGGCCTGCCTGGCGCAGTTGGTGGGTATAAACAGGATCATAATATAACAGCTCAACGCAACTAAAGATTATATGAACACGAGTATTGCATATTTTCCCGGGGCCGTGCTAGGGCGAACTGCCAAGCCTAGGGGCCCTAAATGCGCGAGGTCCCTAAATTCGCGAGGCACCTAAAATGGGTGTATCCCAATAGAAAATGGCCGTGTTCTCGTAAAAATGGGCGTAGCACAGTATTAAAGCGCGAGGCCCATGGCATTTGCCGTATTTGGCACGTGGTTAATCCGGCGTTAAACGAGCAACAAGCTTTCATTTTCTTTAAACGCGACGTATGGGGAGACAATAATAATTTGTGATGTCGCACTGGGCCAAAATACTTAATGCTGTATTTTTGGGTACTAGTACTTGTGAAATATAATAAGATCAATAGACATTAGTGTATCAAAATAAAGTAATTTTACTGATTATTTTAACTGTGCATCAAAGTAAACACACATTATTCTAAACTACAGTATTTGCTATATGCCTATAATTTGAGTTTGAGGTGGTAGAATATATAATAAAATAACAAATCCTTGTATGGATAAATGTTCATTTCACACGCACGCTATTAACAGCTGCTTAATAATTAACTTATGTATTCGTAAACATTTATACTCGATAGTCGATATGTAAATACTAAATGGTACATTATATGGATCAATGCAAACTGGAACAAAACAACAATTGTCAATTGAAGTTCTAATTTTGGGAAAATTAGTAACAAATATAAAATCACTAAACAGCTCATCGATTTGTATGTTTGCGCTATTAAAAGTAGACAATATTGAACAATGATCTGAAGTTGTCACGCAACTGACAACAATATTATATTTCAAAATACCTGTATATGATGATATTTTACAAATATCTCGGGATTTTTGGACCAATTTTAAACTAAGCAAGGTAAAAAGTCTCCATTCAAGAATATATCTTCTTCTCAAAAGGTAAAATACTTAAAATACTTGATTAAATTGTTTACTTCGACGGTATGTAAATTAACAGCGTTTGACTTGCAAGACGTCAAAAACGGAAGATTTCAACGCGCTGTCGTTTATCGCGTATTCATTTGCCAAAAGAAGTATTTACGTCAATTGAAAGCTTGCTTATTAAAGAGCCAACTAGTAGAAACATGATCGATTTGGAGCTTTATCGCATGGTGAAAATCGATTTTGTTAAGAGGGTATCGTAAATGAAGTAAGATAGTGTGCTCCAAAACTACGCTTATTTCTATTCCTAAAAGTAACTCAGATTTCCTGTAAGTCATGTACACAGTCCTTTGAATAACCGGAAACAAGATTTTTAGGGTTTTAGATCGATTAGAAACGGTTGTCGTCGTGAAATTTATCTGTAAAATCAGCGCATATTTTCCCAGAAAAATGGCGATTTAGGGTGGACGTGTTAAAACGGCATTTTCTCAAAGTTAAAAAAGCATTTGACCTAAAAAAATATATGGTGCATTTTCCGATATAATAAGGTATATCTGGGCAAAATTTGAGCAAAATCGATTTTTCAGTCGTGGCCGCGCAATGTCTCATATGTTTGATTTTTACTGACATTCACTCTTAATTGTTTTGTTTACGACCAGTATACAACTTGGCCGTCGCCGTTAGTTTGATGCGTATATATATATATATATATAAATATATATATATATATATATATATATATATATATATATATATATATATATATATATATATATATATATATATATATATATATATATATATTGACAACAATAATTTGATTTTTTTGCTTTGTTTCCGCTAACGATATTTATTATACATTGTAGTTGGTAAAAGCAATTTGATTGGCTAAGAGCTAACAGTTAAATCGCGCAATCACGCAACCTACACAAAATTCAGTTATCTGCTAGCAGATAACTCAGTTATCTGCTAGCAGATAACTGAATTTTGTGTTAGGTTGCGTGAAATTGAATGAGTGTACATTTCAAATGAGTGTACATTTCAATTTTCAAATGAATGTACATTTCATAATTGTAATGTTTACTTTAACACGTAAATATTTTAATACGTTAACATCTTAACGATAATATGTTTCTTTTATATTTGTAATTAATTTAACTGTTGGACTTCCGGAGACTTGTTTATAGAAACGTTTTACTTGAACAGCTTTGCCAGAAATCATATTGAATATAACGCTTACCGAGACCTTGATAATTTTGCATATCGCAAAAACCGAACTCAATAATTGTTTTATTATTTAAAATACTATGTTTATTATTCTTCAAATGTATAATAAAACAATTATTGAATTCGGTTTTTGCGATATGCAAAATTATCAAGGTCTCGGTAAGCGTTATCAGCCTCGCCTTCGGCTCGGCTGATAACGCTTACCTCGACCTTGATAATTCCGCATATCACAAAAACCTCATCCAATAATTGTTAATTATATATACAAAATACATTGATAATACATGTTCTGATCTAGTTGCCAATGAAACATTCCATATAATAACTTCAGTAAAGTTGGCTTACTCAGCTAATATACAGTCCGTGCATACATCCAGATTCAATTCTACAAATATTTGTTTGGCCACTTGAATGGGACACTGGTCAAGGATTAGAACCCTTACAGAAGGGAGACTCCTTGGTTTTGCCTATGATTTTGGGCGTTTTCGGTGCAATGCTGACAATGCTGTCGCAATGTTCAGGCTAGCCATTGTGCTTATGAGAGGCATTCACCCCCCTCCCCCCCTAAAAATATGCAAAATGGTGGACAATCACGTGGTGAATGCCTTTTGTAAGTAATAATTTATTTATTTTATTTATTTATTAGGCTTTGCCAAATCAACTTAAAATCACTTGCTATACATACATTGACATGGCTGGGTATACGCTACAGCTTTCGCCAATTACAGCGACCCTTTACACAATACAAGACAAACAAACTTTAAGATATCGGGGGTTAAAAGCAGAATACCCCACCAATTTCTTCTTATACAAAAATTTCTGTACAAAAATTTCTGTACAAAAATTTCTTCTTATACAAAAAATTTTGTTTCTTATACAATAATATCTATTAACTAAAATTAATATCTTCATAGGCTGGTGGAGGTCCTGGTTGTTCCTGTGGTGGCACACTCGGACTAGCTTGCTGGCCACTGAGAGGTGCTGCATTGCTCTAAATTAAAACATAAAGCATTTTTAATATATTATAATAAACTGACTGACCAACCATGTGACTGAGACCAGTCAGGTTAATCATTTGAATGGTTAGTCAGTCAGCCAGTCAGACGATTTTGACTGACTGATTGACCATCTGATCATCTGACTGACCTTTGGCAACAGAAAACTGGTTTGGTTGGGCGGAGACATTTTCAGCATTCTAAAGGCCCGTTTACACTTCCAACTTTTGCTGCGATTTCTAGTGCGATTTTCTTCCTCTGATGGATGTGAAGGAGTAAATAAGTTGTTTGTTCTGAGTAGATGTCTCACTGATGTAGTATCGACTGAACATTAATAACTCATCCACTCGTTCACATGCATCAGAAGAAGAAAATCGCACATAAAATCGCAGCCGAAATTGCAAGTGTAAACGGGCCTTAAGGAAGATTTGAAATGCAGAAACCTTGATTTAAAGATGATGTCCACTCCTCTGCACATGCGCGAGCTTTGTTTACGTTTTGAACTGCTATATTTGTAAAATATGATATACTAACTGAATATCTAACACTTTTCTGGTTTGCTATGCTTGTAAATGAATATAAACTCTACGTTTCAATTAAAAAAGTCCGAAAGATGCAAAATTTGGACAATCTTTATATCTGGGGGTCCCAGAATTGATGCGCAGAACGGAGTGGAAATCATCTTTAAATCCCCATAACAACTGTTTCAAGCCACATAACAGGGAATTATGAACACTTATTATATAATAAACCTTATATTTGGAGAGGCTTATCCTCCTCTTTTTTCTACTTCTCAAAGTTAAAGGGCTTTAATTAGTCCCTCTAGCTCTCCCGGTTCCACTCCCTATGCGACTGACTGATTCAAATACTCATACGTTTTCCACAATGAAAAAAGAAATGTACTGTACTTTGAATAGGTCGACGGAATCAGGTTTTAATGCTGTCATCCAATTTATTTTTTCCTCCTAAACAATTTACAAAAGTGTCTAATCACAATAGTTTAACCAAGATCATGTCAATTACTGATTGGTTGAATTAACAACTCACAATAAAGGTTTTTACTCAAACATACATGATTTGCTGCTTTCAATTTCCAAATTTCTCCAGATTTGAGGTGAATTTCAAATCCAATTAGTGGATTGTCTTTAGACTCAGTAACTTTGGATATTTTACCTCTAGTTGTGGTGCCTAGAGGTTCCCTTGTCTAGTACAAAAAAATGAATAAAAAAATTTTTATTTAGTGCAACTCAAATGCAAATCAAATGTTAATGCACTAAATGATAATTATGTGCTGCAACACTCACATATTTTGTTTTATAATAATGTAAATAACTGCTCTCCAACTTGAAGTGATAATTTTTCCAACCCTGCAACATATTCTTGTATTTTGTTAACTCCCCCTCTTTCTACAAGAGAAAAAATAGGTACGCTACGCGTACATGAATCTACGAATAGCAATAAATCGTTGCCCCACCCTACCCAGTAGTCAATCGACAGCTTTATTAAGAAGTGAATGGCCGCCAAGCACTAGCTAGTCTAGAACATAATCAGAAAATAATATATGTGTGCATAAACAGGTCATTGATATACCAGTAATTTGCGCTAAAACGGTTATTCCGGATTAAAATATTTACAATTCTAATTGTAGGACGATACTTAGTTGCACACTTAACAAATCCATTGCAGTAAAAACCCACAGTAACTGTGTCTTAAGGTCCAGACACACCGGACGCGAATCGACAACGCGACGCGATTTTTTAGTTTTTGAAAGTTAATAAAGCAGCCAATGAGAGCAAATTTTGAAAGGTATGTAGACCAAATAACTCAAAATGTTATAATGCTTCTAAATATTTGGAAAATTTTTAACTAGGATCAAAGTTATCGTTCAATGGAAATCGAAACATCGCGTCGCGTTGTCGAATCGCGTCCGGTGTGTATGGACCTTTATGCGTGCACAATCCGAACGCGTTTTTAGCGTGCCGAATTCGTACACGCCATAATATAATAGAGACTCCTGCCCACTGACCTATATAAAGCCAATTCCCCTGCCGTGAAACAAGATATTAGTTTATTATCTAATATTTTGGCTCGGATTGTGTATTTTGCTTGCAATTTAGTTCGGATCCTGGATTGTAACTTCATAGTAGAGCTTTTAGCGAATCCAAATTTAGACAAGACCATTGTCGAATCGGTGGATTTTGCTTCAAATTTGGGCGGATCGGCGGATTTGTATACCCCTATTAACCCCCCCCCCCGGCCCCCCCCTCAAGAACCGCAAACAAAACTGGGTGACCATTTTTTGACAAATTTTGTTTTGGCCCTGTAATATTTTTTGCAGTTTAATTAATGATGTTTGTTTATTGTAAGTACTTGAGTGAAAAGAATAACGGTCTTACTGACAGTATGCTCTAAGATGAAAAATTAAAGGGGTAAAATTTGTCGATATAAAAAGTGCATTTTTCAAAAACAATTTGCAACAAGGGACTGGCACTACCTACAAAGCATGGCTTCAATCCCCCCCCCCCTGAGTTATCATTCCAGTTTACTTATAATTCAGTGATGACAAAACGCCTTATTATGAGGGGGCGTTTTGTAGATTAGTTATACAATTTTCCATTCTCCTGGTAATTGTCTCTTTCTATGACAAGTCAACAGCTTTTAGCAAAATTTTTTTTTTTTTTTTTATTTCGATATGACAAAAAGAAAAATTTAAATTACAAACGTACAAATACCACACATAAATACTTTAAAGTGTCAGGAACCAACAACAGGGTTATGTATTAAATGTATTAAAGGAGGGTGTTGATGACATATTGTGAGTCGTGATTCACTCAATTTCACAGTTACCGTCAGTCATGAAAACACTAAAAATTTACAGTGAAGCGCGAGGAAAAAAATACTGCTTATCGTTTCAGAACACTTTTCGAAGATTTACCATTAAAATTACCAAAATTTTACAGTTAAAATACAAAAATTTTTACCGTTTACTGATTGTCAGATCCCCCCATCTAGACCCTCTTAATGTAAAATGTAGAATGACAGTCAGGGCTGGCGCTAAAGGGGGGGGGGGGGTAGTGGGTAGTGAAACACCCTATCGGCCCTGACTGGTAGTCAGCAAAATATTGGATCCCTGTCGGCAAAAAAACATGGATTTGGATAGGAAGAAATAAAATGAAATATTTGAGTGACATCAATTAAAAATTAAGAATGATAGCTAAAAGTAAAGAAATTTACAAAAAAATTAGGGAAAATGGAATGAACAATGGTAGTTGAACATAAAATAAGATTGAGAAATATGTTGTGCGGAAAATTTTTTTTGATCTTGAGCAGCTGCTCATCCAACCTCGTCCCCAGGGCCTTTTGAGGAAAGATGCGAAGGGCAGCTAAGGCCTCCTTCCTCAATAGGCCCTGGGGACGAGGTTGCTGCTCACCAACAATTTTGGGAAACGAAAGATAGGACCCTTGGGACCCTCATTCAAAGAGGTCACCGCCCCTGCTGACAGTTTATAATAATTTTTATATTTCAGTATTTCAAATTAGTAAAATAGTAAACGAAATGTTTACAGTTGTTTATATATTATACAAATCCTCATAACAACTATTTTGAGAAATATTGACGGTCTCTTCAAAAATTGTCAAAACGTATATGATATGTGGTCGTGATAGATGCTTATATATTAACTACTGTACAGGGTGTCAGAATAGAAGTGATATGACTAATTAGTAATTTGACAATTTTTTATACAGGTATGCTCTTTTATTCATGCGATTAAACCTGAATAGGCTTATGTATTTCCGAGCGCCGTTCTGGGCGTAAGCCCCTGACAAGGGTACTAATTCCACCCGCCTATTTACCCCAGTGAACTCCATGTCTTTTATCTGGAATGATAACATGCGGGAGAAACGTGAAGCCAATGCCAACGCCACTTGACGTGCGCTGATTCGTGATAAACCGCACAGTGATGGCATATAAGGGGGCTGAAACTGACATACTATATGGTGTGGCGATCAGACCGCGCGGTGATGGCGTATAAAGAGACTGAAACTGACATACTATATGGCGTGGAAATGGCGTGGAGGGCTGACGCCACTGCTCACATGTTGCTCACGCGAGGCTTCACTCTATCACAGAATAGGAAGTTATACCAGAAGCGTAACTCTAGTCGTTTCCCTTATTGTTTGACATCCACGAAAATTTTAACTCGCTCACGTCAGGCCACGCCATCCTGGCTAGTACAGCCGGAAGTTTTTATCAGGATTTGGTAGGTACAAAGTGCCGGTTGTACTAGCCAGGATGGCGTGATTGATGACGAATCGCTTGTAAAAATGCGGACAAATACTTGCTCGAGTTACGCTTCTGGTATAACTTCCTATTCTGTGACTCTATGACTGAATGTTATCATTCCAGGTAAATAGATTGAGTTCACTGTTTTACCCCTGGGGAAAGGAAAGCATTAGCGAAGTCTAAAGTTCATCAATGATTGCGGGCATGGGTTACTGTGCATAAGCGGTCATCCTCATTGGTCTCAAAATATAGCGGACTGTCATGAATAGCGAACATTTTATTGGTCCAATTTAAAATATGCATTATAACGACTGCATGACAACAGCGAAATTGAAAACATTTCTTGCAAATATATTTCATTTTTGCAAGATTTGGTAAATGTCAAAAGCTTTTAGAGAAAAAAGCAAAAGAATTGTTAAAAGAAGGGAACAAACTCAGCAAAGATGCCCACGCAAAAAACAATTAATAGAGATGACTTTCTGAATGGGTTTGTATTCTGTGCTAATGTAGTCAAAGTCCTCTGAGTTGCTCGCACTAATTGCCGTAAATTACATATTTTGCATCAGTGCCAAACGTAAATGCGGCCTAAAGGAATGTAGTGAATTTAAATGTAGTGAATTTAAATGTAGTGAATTTAAATGTAGTGGTCCGTAGTTAGTACGCTACGGCACAAAATAGGAAAGTATAGCAGAAGTGTAACTTGAGTCGGTGCCTTTGTTGTTTTACATCCACGAAAATTTTAACTTGCTCACGCCAATCCACGCCATCCTGGCTAGTACAGCCGGAAGTTTTTATCAGGTTTTGGTAGGTACAAAGTGCCGGTTGTACTAGCCAGGATGGCACGATTGATGACGAATCGCTTGTAAAAACGCAGACAAATACTTGCTTGAGTGAGACTTCTCGCACAGATGATAGATAATACCAGATGTCTCACTCAGCCAAAATTGTGTCCGCGACTTTTTATGGATGTAGGTAAAACATGGCCCTAGTCCATGGCCCGGTATGGCCCTACCCTTGGCCCACCTGTTTTTTTGTTTAATTTTAATTATTTCCTCGGTCAGCAATAATTTTCGGATATGCTAATCACCAAAAATCATGTTACAGCCCCTTTCCACCCACAAATCTGCATATAAACGTCCAAAATTATCAGGTTCAAGCGTAAAGCATTAAAGCATGCACGCTAGAAAAACTTTATTTGCGCATGCGCTGAATTATAAATAATTAGGGTAAGATGAAGTCTATACTATTCAAACTGAACAATTTTTAGATACCACTGGTCGACCATATCGGTATGTGAAACAAAATCCCACGGGTTTATCCCAGGGGTTAACTGTGCCTGTTACCAAACCCAAACAATTCCCCTTCCCCGACGGACACTATTTTTTACAAAAGACAACAAATCCCCCCCCCTGCTGTTCCCTGGGGTGTCCTGGGGGTCGAAAGGTCGAACCCCGGAGAAGCCGATGATAAGTGCATATTAATTTCAAATCTATCAAATTCTTCACAATTTTTAAAAACAATCTAAATCTCAATTGCAACTGATGACACTTCATAACAAATGTCAAATATTATATTTAATAACTCTCATCTTTGTTCTATAACTAGAGGTTTAATTAAAAAAAACTTTCAGGGTTGTTGACATAGACCTCTGGGACTACGGATTCGGAATCCGCATAATTTTGCAACTTTGGAAACTTTTTGACTTGTTTTCAAGTCTTGCGGTTAAAATTTGAAAAACAGCGCGGTTTTCGGAGATGCGTACCCCCTATAATATACCCCCAGGGGCGGATTCAGCCAAAATTCTGACCGTAGCATTTTCACAGACCTCGTATAGCTAGGGAGGTCCGGGGGCATGCCCCCCGGAAAATTTTTGAAATTTGAAGCCCGGAAATGCCATTTCCTGCGTTCTGAGCACTGCGTGTGACCATTAAATTTGTCCTCATTGTAATGTACTCATTTTCCAAGCAAAAATAAGAAAGATCTCAAAAAGTAAAGTATCGCTCGCGTATATCTTAACATACGATACCGGTATGATACTCGTATCATACGCATATCATTATTATCATTATCAATTGAATACCGAAATACGCGTATCATCTGCCAACGCGTGTATCATAATGAACATAATGTATCATACGAATACGCGTATCATATGAACGCGCGTATCATACGAATACGCATTACAAACAAATATTAGGGCGCTATGGCACGATATATATACGCGCGTATCATAATTCGCGTATTAATTCCAATACATGCAGGTATACTGTACATACGCGCACAAACAAAGCGAAGTTAATAGCGAACACTATACAGTAATCTCTTATTATTCATAAGGCTTACCTGACTGGAAATGATTCGTTTAACTATCTGATTTTATTTCTACCTCGACTCGTATATATTCTTTAGCTTTACGACGGCTTTCATTTCGAAAATATGCGCACAACCGCACTGTGGGTTCCCAATAGCATGTTGTTGATGAGCCAAACACAAATATCAGATATTCCATCGTTCTGGAGCAGTAGCAAATTTCATGCCACCGTAGCATATGCCGATTTTCGCTACGGTCAGATTCGACCTTAATGAATCTGACCGTAGCGAAAATTGATCATATATGGGCAACACGTTACGGTGTATTCCTGAAGGATGCTATTTTCTAGGCTATAGTCTATTGCATAATGACCCGCAAACGGGCAATTACAAGCGTATTTTCGGGCGGGAATTCTTAAAACAATTAACGTTATGTATCAATGTCATCAATTTGTCAAAATAAAATGTTTTAAACATAACCAAATCAAAATAAATCCTTGAAATATAAACAAGGAAAGTAAACAAAATATTGCTAAATTATATTTTAAATTGATTTTATGATCCATGTTAGAACTGGCCTATGGAAAATCTGACCGTAGCATATGCTACAGTTGCAACGGTCTAAATCCGCCCCTGACCCCCCAAAAAGCTAAAAAAAACCCGATAAAAACTCACCCCACAAAACAATGTAGTTGTGCGCCATGCGGCCGACATTGATTCTCTCACGTGAACATGTGTTGTTTCTAAACAACGTTGTTCGTACTTTATGTAATAGTCCATATTATGTACTAATCGTAAAACGCACTGGTGACTGGTCAAAACTTATTTCGTATTTTACAGTAATAGCTCAAATCAATATTATATAATATATATGAAACATATATGAACTCAACACGTTAAAATAATTTTGACATAATTTACACATCTAAATTGAAGGAAAAACAGGTGGCCAGTAGGGCCGTACACTGGGCCATGGACTAGGGCCATGTTTTACCTACACCCACTTTATATGAGCACGCGTTGGCCGTCATTTTGGCAGTAACTGTAATCCACACAATAGAGATTATAAATAACACTAGAGGAGGCATCGAGGTTAAAAATTGGGAACACAGCTAATGGGGGGCAAATTCAAGTCCCGGATATAAAATCGTGCTCTCATTGGCCGATTTGAAACTCGTCACCAATGGGAACGTCAATACACATCCGGGACTTGAATTTGCCCCCAATAGCTGTGTTCCCTTTTTTACTGAATTAAGATTACAATGCCTCCTCTAGTGTTATTTATAATCTCTATGATCCACGCCATGGAATGTGAGCAATCACGTATTTTGGCAGTAAGCGCCATTTTGGCAGTAAGTGTCACACACGTCACCTGGCGTGATAGCCTCGCGAAAATCGCGGACACGAAAATCATAGGGATAGAGTGAATACATCTGGTATTATCTATCATCTGTGCTTCTGGTATACCTTCCTATTCTGTGGCTACGGCAGCAAACCACTCCGTTAGTATAGTCATAGGCAGCCCAGATATGTGTGTTGATTTTATTCTAGTTTCTGAAAGTGAAATAGCTTTCAACACTTGCGCGTGGAAATTATCACGGTCACCTGACGCTCGTGTGGGCATTGTCATCACAATGATTCATTGTATCATCATGACAATGCTCACGCGAGCGTCACGCGACCATGATAATTTCCACGCGCAAGTGTTTAAAGCTATTTCACTTTCAGAAACTGGAATAAAGTCAACACACATATCTGGGCTGCCTATGGTATAGTGTTAAAGTCACTGTATAAAGCACAATACTCAAAATTATACTAGAAACGTAGTAAATTTTTACATGTAATGGAATGTTAGCCGTAGCGTTTATTAAAATAAAGCTTACCAAACGTATCTCCGAACTCATATCCAAATTCTTTTTAACTCTTTTCGCAGTGATTTACATCGGGTGTTTGGAAACTGGAAAGGCCATAGTGACCATAGTGACAGCGTTGAACTACAAATAAACTTGAACGATAAGTTCGCCGCCTTCGACTTTGAAGCCGGCCATGACTGTTTTCTGCAGGTGCCAGTCCTTTTTTACAAAATGGATGCGAAAAATACAGCTTAAAAATTGTTAATATTTTCTCACTTTTACTTTTTTCAAGGCATTAATTAATAATATATTTATCCTAGAAACTGTGCTTCTTGCCTTCTTTGCAGTGTTTCCACTTTCAAGTTCGTAATTTCCTCATTATGAGAGCGGATTTTATATAGCGGAAGGTGTAGAGCGATGAAGCGGGTGAAATTTTAAATGCAGCGACTGGAGGATTGTTAGTTTTGTTACATAATTTTCAAACAATGAATTAGGGGCCGGCCATTGATAATGTAAGGGGGGAGGAGCGGTGGGTGATAAATACCAAATATTGAAATTTTTTAGAGCCTCCCCCAATCGCAAGACCATTATTATCAAGACGCCCCCACCTTCATAGCTGCCCCCAATTCAGGCAAAAATAGTTGAAGCCACCCCCCCCCCTTTTCTCATCCATGCCCCCCTCCCATTATTAATGACCTGCCCCTTATTGACCCCAAAATATCAGCATTACAATTTTCAGCATTACAGATACACTGGAAATGTTTCCTGGCTTAATCCGAAAATATTCTGTATTTTATATTGAACATTTATTCGTTTTTACTATATATACAAAAACATTAATAATACATGTTCTGATCTAGTTACCAATGAAACATATATTCCATAATTATGTTGGCTTACTCAGCTAATAGTTGGTAAATACATCCAGATTCAATTATTTAGACCAACACTTAGTCGCATCCATGTTTGACCACTTGAATGGGACACTGGTCAAAGATTAGAAACTTTACAGAAGGCTGACTTCCTTGGTTTTGCCTATGATTTTGGCGTTTTCAGTGCAATGCTGTCGCACCTAATGACAAAAAGGGAAAAGCCCTGGGAATGAGGTTGGCTGTCGCAATGTTCAGGCTATAGCCAAGTGTGCTTACGAGAGGCATTCACCCCCCTGAAAATATGCAAAATGGTGGACATTCAGGTGGTGGATGCCTCTTGTAAATGCCATGGCATAGAACATCATGGCGAGTGCATTTTGATGACAAATCATTGCAAATCACAGCATGGCAGTGGGTATACTTTTTTGGCTGAGTCGACCTTCTGTAGGATCTCTATTCTGTAATCCATGTATTATATTCATAATATATATTATCTATAGTTAATATCGTCATAGGCTGGTGGAGGTATTGAATTTGATAGACAAGAGGAACCGTGGCAAACTGGAGCATTTGTATTTTGAGTTTGTAGATGGGGGTATATTCTTTCATAATTTGCTGGAAACAGATTTTGTTCTACCTGTGGCGGCGCACTCGGAGTAGCTTGCTGGCCACTGAGAGGTGCTGCATTGCTCTAAATTAAAACAAAGCATTTTTATTAATAAACTGACTGATCAACCATCTCACTGAGACCAGTCACGTTATTTATATCATTTGAATGGTTGGTCAGTTGGCCAATCAGACAATTGACTCGTCTGATCATCTGACTGACCATTGGCAACAGATAACTGGTTTGGTTGGGGGACTGACTGATTCAAATACTCATACGTTTTCCACATTGAAAAAAGAAATATGTACTGTACTTTAAATGGGTCAACGATAATTGCATCAGGTTTTAATGTTCTCATCCAATCCATTCGTTCCTCCTAAACAATTTACAAAAGTGTCTAATCACAACAGTTTAATTAATAACCAAGAACATGTCAATTACTGATTAGTTGAATAACAACCCAGAATAAAGGTTTTTATTCTAACATACATGATTTGCTGCTTGCAAGTACCAAATTTCTCCAGATTTGAGGTGAATTTCAAACCCAATTAGTGGATGGTCTTTAGAGAAAGTAACTTCGGATATTTCACCTCTAGTTGTGGTGCCTACAGGTTTCGCTGTCTAGTATGGAAAAATGAATAAAAAACATTTTATTGAGTGCAACTCAGATTAAATGTTAATGCACTAAATGCAACACTCACATATTTTGATTCAAAATAATGTAAATAACTCCTCTCCAACTTGAAGTAATATTTTTTCCAACCATACCACACATTCCTGTATTTTGTTAACTCCCCCTCTTTCTACAAGATAAAAAAGAGCATATTTTCATATGATTTTGGCATAACTATAATTTCTCATCAAAATGCTGACGACATGGTCCTAGTCAGTGTGCTTAGGCATTCACCCCCTGATAATGTTCAAAATGGCAGATGTCCAGGGGGGAAATGCCTCTCATGAGCACACTGGCTAGGACCATGGCGTCAGCATTTTGATGACAAATCATACATGGCGTGGCAGCTTTTGGCAGTGGGGGAAGGGGGCATTTTGCAGTGCCTTTTCAGGGAGGGGGGCTTTTTGCATGTCTTTTCAGGGAGGGGGGGGGGGTTTGCAGAGGTAATATTGGTTTATGCGCGATATACCAAGTCACGGGTGACGTCACAAGTCAAGAGTGACGTCACACCAATAGCAAATAATGGAATTAAATCATTTCACTTTGTTCTTTGTTTTTTAAATAATACTAGTTTTAGCTACCTATTTGTTTTGGATCGTCAGGCTTTTTGGCCGGTGCATTTGGATCGTTTCCTTTTTGTAGATCATTCGGATCATTTGCTTTTTGTAGATCATTTGGATCATTTGGATCATTTTTTTGTGTAGATCATTTGGATCATTTGCTTTTTGTGGATCATTTGGATCATTTGCTTTTTGTGGATCATTTGGATCATTTGCTTTTTGTGGATCATTTGGATCATTTGCTTTTTGTGGATCATTTGGATCATTTGCTTTTTGGATCATTTGGATCATTTGCTTTTTGTGGATCATTTGGATCATTTGCTTTTTGTGGATCATTTGGATCATTTGCTTTTTGTGGATCATTTGGATCATTTGCTTTTTGTGGATCATTTGGATCATTTGCAATTCAATCCGCCAGGCGCCAGAACAAAAATCAAACTTGCGCGTACGGCGCAACCAGCATTATATAAACAATCAGTCATCTGTAGGTACTATTGCGGTGCAGGGGACGTTTAAGCGATAAATAGTACTGTATTATTTAAAATAAAACTTTTGATATAAACGTTTAGTTGCTTTCTTGCGATATACGAAATCCAGGCTGGTGGTCCGTTAATTTGTTTAGAAATAGATCTAATTACATGTGTTCGAAGCTTTCAACACGACACTGAGACTGAAAGACTTGAAAATATTGTTAGGCTAGCAAGCTATTTTCGTTGGTTTCAAACAAACGAGCGTAGTCAGCGTCTATGAGGATGACATATGTGCAGCCTTGCCGCAGTGTTTCCGTGTGTGAGCGACAGTGTCGAAACACAATAGTTATGTATTGGATTCTTAATCACACCTGCATGTGATACACTCGCGACTAAGTCATGCTTTAGATGTCATTCGAATATGGCAACAAAAGTGACTTGTTGTTTGTGGGGAGTTTTTATCAGTATTTTAACGTGCTATTTGTCAAATTCGCCGTGTGCTGGTCCCATAGTAAAGTCGTGGGTTAAATTTTATCAAGTTATGCATTGAGAATTGCGAGAAAAAGCCAGACGAAACGCAAGTTCTTATTTGCCCAGAAGGTAGCCCTTTTTTCAAACATAACTGGATAAACAACGTTATTCCTTCAGTCATCTTGTGGAACCCACTGTTTCATACAAACAACTTTGGTCAAATAACATGCCCCAATTGTCACTCTGCACTAAGGCACTGGAAATGGAAAGATGGTAGCAACGATAGGAACAATCCAGAAAACTTATTTTGTATTCAAGAGCGTGTTCTCCTGGTTTCGTCTGTGTATTTGTGTGATCCGTCTTTGTATTTGTGCGTCTGTGTATTTGTGCGTTTCCCATGATCCCGAATCATTACTAGTCAGAAAACAGATTCAAATTCCTGTTGTACTATTTCATAAATCCGGTGTTTCAAAAGATCTCTTCGATTATATAGGATCACTATTCAAATTAGAATAACTATAGATGTTGAAATTATGGGTTATTGAATTATTTAAAGTATATTATGGTCAAATCATATCCAACTTTCACGTGTTTGCGCCATACACTGTGTATACATAATGTTCTGTTTCACAAAAGGCTCGCTTAAATACTTTAGATATTAATTCAATTATTCAATAAAATCTTTTCCGATTGTGTATAATGGTTGAATCTATCCCTGTTGCATGTGGTCAACATTTCGGGTGGATTTTGGTGTGTTATGTAGCAAGAACTGCGTCAAGGAATGTAAGTGTATTAGGCTAACATAATTTCAACATCATCTATAGTTATTCTAGTTTGAAGATTTATACATCTATAGTTATTCTAGTTTGAATAGTGATCCTATATAATCGAAGGAGTGTCCCTATATGTCGTGTGTCGTGGGTTAAAAGTCGTGTGTCGTGAGTAAAGTCGTTGGTAAAGTCGTGGGTCATAAAATGTGCCGAAAACGCACTTTTTTTCACGAAAATATTATTTTTATTTTTAATACTTTTTTCCATTTATGCGCTAGATAAATACAGGAAAATTTAACGCAACAAATCTCCATGCAGTAATAAAGTAAAATACATGCTGTTTTCTTATCTTGCTGTTATCTATATAGTATAACAAGTACTGAAATGTTTCCGTTTCGTATAGTCTAATAAGTCTATAGATGTATTGTTTGATGATAAAATGTCTTAAGTTATAGGATATAGGTTTATTAGCTTTGGAAGTGTGATAGTCCCTATCATGAACGTCGCGAATGTAACTATGTCGATTGCATATGTCTGATACAAACATATTGATTGAGCTATAAATTCTACGCTGTCGGTGGCCAACGCTCGAACCTCAAATTTTTCTATCAGTTTTATCTCCTAGTATATGTTCGTGGCCCTTAAAGATAGACAAACATTTCATGTTTATGTGGCGTTCGGAAATATTCCATAAATTGCTACGATTTGGGATTTTGCGATTGAAAACCGAAATGATTTGTGCGATGTCGGGCTATTTGCCAACCGAGCGCGCTAGCCGCTGTTATTTTGACAGAATATGATACCTCTACACTTTTCAGCCGTAATACATAATGCGCGCATTGTAATCATATACATATCGTTTAATTTAGCTTCAAAAACTTGATAAAAATCAAAATTGCTGTATTTTGTTAAATGTGCGCAGCATGTTGTTTCGACACTGTCGCTCACACACGGAAACACTGCAAGGCTGCAAATATGTCACACAATCATCCTCATAGACGCTGACTACGCTCGTTTGTTTTAAACCAACCAAAATAGCTTCCTAGTCTAACGCTGCTACGCAAATATTTTCTGTTCGTTAAATTTGTAGTTTAGCTATATTTTCAGGTCTTTCAGTCTCAGTGTCGTGTTGAAAGCTTCGAACACATGTACTTAGGTCTATTTCTAAATAACGGACCACCAGCCGCATGGATTTCGTATATCGCAAGAAAGCAACTAAACGTTTATATCAAAAGCTTTATTTTAAATAATACAGTACTATTTATCGCTTAAACATCCCCTGCA